AAGAGAAAATGCCAGGTGACTGGGAGGTAGGACAGATCATAACAGTACATAAAAAGGGAGACCAACAAATCTGTGAAAATTATAGAGGAATAACATTACTAAATACAACATATAAAATATTGACATCAATAATAAAAAAGAGGTTATCAAAGATCACAAAGAAGACAGTAGGACAGTACCAATGTGGATTCACAGAAGGAAGATCTACAATAGATGCAATACACACAATAAAACAAATAATGGAAAAAGCAAACGAGTATAAATTAGAATTGGAAATGTTATTCATAGACTTCAAACAGGCATTTGATTCAATTAAAAGGAACGTATTAATGACAGCACTTAAAAAATTAAAAATTCCACATAAACTCAGAAAATTAATAGAAATGACAATGAGAACTACAAAAATAAGCATAAAGACACAAAGAGGAGAGACAGAGGAATTCAGTATAAATAAAGGGATGAAACAAGGAGATGCCTTATCAACGACGCTATTTAATCTAGCATTAGAATATGTACTGCGAAATATAAATAAAGGAAATCTTAGAACAAGAGGTGGTCAAATAATTGCATATGCAGATGATATTGCTATTATTGCAAAGAACAGAAAAATAATGAAAGAAATGCTTGAAGAAATAAGAGAGAAGGGGGAGGTAATGGGGCTAAGATTAAATCAAGAAAAGACAAAAATATTAAGATTAGGGAAAAAACCAATGAAGGAAAAAATCAAAATAGGGAGTTCCGAGTTTGAAGAAGTAGAATACTTCAAATACCTAGGAGTTACAATAAGTAAATCCGGAGAAAGGAAATCCGAAATAAAAGAAAAAATATTAGCAGCGAATAAAGCTTATTTTGCAAACAAAAGATTACTTAAAAGCAAAACACTGACTAAAAAAAGCAAGATGAGCATTTATAACACCATAATTAGACCAATATTATTATATGCAGGGGAAACAATGACGATGGTTAAAAAAGATGAAGAAGACTTAAGAATTGCAGAGAGAAAGATTATGAGAACCATACTAGGACCAATCAGAACAGAGCAAAATGAATATAGAAGCAGAACAAATGCAGAAATTAAGGAAGAACTTAAGGAAGACATTGTAACTAAAATAAAGCAATGCAGAGTTAGATGGTTAGGTCACATCTGGCGAGCAGGCGATGAGGCAGTGACATACGCAATGATAGCATGGAATCCAAGAGGAAGAAAGAGAAGGGGAAGACCGAGATCAAAGTGGCTGCAAGAAGTTGAAGAAGACCTCCAAAGGGCAGGAGTCAGTGAATGGAGAGGAAGAACTAGAGACAGGAAAAAATGGAGAGATATTGTCAAGAAGATAAGATAAACAAAAAAAAAGACTGATCCACTTAAGAAATAGGATCTAGAAAGCATTTGCGGTTTAACCCCACGTTGGGGTGTATAGCCATTATATATATATATATATATATATATATATATATATATATATATATCTAAAAAACCGTACAAAAGCAAAATAAGTAAAACCAGTTTACTGCAAAAATAACTTAAAGCGGCTTAAACGGTTTTTGCAAAATTGTAAAAATATAAATGGTCATTTTGCAATAACCGTCTATTCCTCTGAAATGGTAAATACACAAAAAAACTTTGAATTCGAGTTCATTAGTAAAAGTAAGTAACTGCTACTGATTAAATTCCTACTCCATTTAATCTTGATCAATCTCGAAATCAGGATTTAACCCAATTCCTTCCAAATCATACCTATATTATTCCTATCATATTCCTAAAATATTTAGCTGACCAGAATTTTGACTATCAAACAACAGTTCCAATATTTTATATAATAAACAACTGGTTTCGTTATTTGATATTTGATCAATGCATTTTTTTGTCGGCCTTTATGGCACCAAAATTCGAGTAATCGCAAAACATATTATGTTACCTTTTCGATATCTGCGAATCTCGATATCTTTTAAGGAATTTAAAAATTTGTTTAATCAATTGCCGAGCTGAAAACACAGAAAATTCACAGTTTTAAATATTATACTTTTGTATTTTACCATTAAAGATAAAGCCTCTAGTTTGGTGCAATTTTATTTATTTAAATAAAATTGTGATATTAGCGTAATACTAAATTTCTTGTCTTTTAATAAGTCCAAATAAAGATTTGTTCAATTTAATATTTTACATCTGGTGCACACAATGAAAAGACCCTTACAAAGATTTGCAACAAGCGTCTAACCCACATATTTATAATGAAAACATGGGTTAGACTATTTTTACAAATTTCTGTTTTCATATTATTTGACGAATGTGGTTTAGAACTTAGTTTACAAACGACTCCATGGGTATTAATATGGCTTATATCATTTTTGCTTGATGTAGTATGCATTATGATCAACAGTTTGACACGTTTAACCTCATTTGTAAACAAATGTGGGTTAGATGGTTGTTGCAAAACACCGTCCAATTATTATAACAAATCCACTTTAGGCCAATTTTGATTTATAGCATTCCCGAAACGCGATTTTGTAACTTTACACTATACTTTTTTCACGCTTCTTAAAGATTTAACATTTTATGTTTAGTGTGTGGAAATAAACTGGTTATCAACAGTTTTACTTTCAAAAACAACTCCGTTATAACTTTTATTAAACACCGATTTACCGATTTTTTATTAAAAAAATATTGTTAATACATGCAAGTTTGCTATTACTATAACTTTGATGTAAGTATAAAACATTTAAAAATCTAAGGATACTATACCTATACTATACAAAAATTTCATTTAACACTATAAATTTATGTAGGTCGACTTATTTTTATATAAATAAACGTACTTAAAACATTCATACATGACCCTAAAGGTCGTAATACAATAACAAGTATCTTGTTTTCTATTTATACGAGGATTATTCAATAATTACGTGGCCTAATAAAGAAAAGGAAAATTTTTCGAAAAAAGAAATATTTTTCAATATTAGCATTTTGTTAGATAAGGCGAAAAGTTCGGGTTCGTCCAGAGAAACATTACCATGAAATTTTTTTGCAAATTTATTTAAACAATTTTTTTAACAATTTGTAACAATAAATTTTTTCGGCCCGGATAATTTTTTTTTAGGTTTTTTTAATCATTATTAACAAAAAAGGTCTGTTATAAGTTTTCTCCAAAGTTGATCGTTTTCGACTTAAATAATTTAAAATCAAAAAGACAAAATTGATTGCAAATTAAAAAATAATTAATAAGTGAAACTGGAACAAAACCATGAAGTGGAGATATCCAGGAGTGGCTATCTCCACTCCTGAATTTTACTCGGCCAAAGAATGGAATTAAACCGTGAACATTTTCGTGCGATAATAATTTATCATAACTTTCGAAGTGGATTATCAAGACAAGAGTGCATAGATGAACTTAAATCGTTATACGGGGATCAGGCACCATCCTGTAGCACCGTAAAAAACGGCACAATGAATTCAGTCATGGTCGGCGCTCTCTCCAGGACGAATTGTGAAGGTTGTCCAAAATCGGCTGTTATACCAGAAACCATTGGTGGTGCGTCAACTGATATAGCAATATCGTCATGTGACATACCGTGAGATTGATGCATCCTTGGGCATTAGTAAGATATTGCATGATCATTTGGCTGTAAAAAAGATTTGTTCACGTTGGATCCCACAGAATCTAACGAAAGGTCAAAAAGAGGCTCATGTCAATTGGTGCAGGGAAATGTTGAAGAAATAGGATTAACTGCTATGTTTAATATCTACACAGATGACGAAACGTGGATCTATGCATATGAGTCCGGAACTAAATCCAGCAAAAGTTGTTCGTGGAAGAAGCACATCGAAACAAATAGTCGCTTGTTTCTTTGGTATAAATGGTCATGCAGCTATAGTTCCATTACAAGAACGTTTTGAATGATATACAACCATTTGTTTGCCAGAAGTTTAAACTGAAATTTGGAAAGAGAATACGGAGAGAGGAATCATTCTTCACCACGACAATACAAGCTCACACACAACGGAGTTTTTGACCGGCCAAAACATCGAATTAACGGTTCATCTGCCGTACAGTCGTGGTTTGGTACCCAATGACTTCTTGTTATTCCCGTATATGAAAAATAAATTGCGTGGTTAACGATTTTCGACTTCCGAAGAAGCGGTTGAAGGGTTCAAAGTCCATGTTTTGAAATTACCTCAATCTTACTGGAAATTATGCTTCGAAAATTGGTTCGAACACATGCTAAAGTGTATTGATTTTCATGGAGAATATTTTGAAAAGCAATAATAGGAATAAAATGTTATAAATCCAAAATGGCATGTCTGGTTTTAAATACCAGAATTCGTTCCTTCTGCTAAAGTAAGCCTGGAGTCTAATAATACCTCAAGGTACCTACTTCACTTTATTCACCAGATTTAGATTTTTACCATTAAAGTTAAGTTACTAAGAGACTAATCCCTTTAAATTCCTCTGTCTAGTAAGAAATTCATTCTGTTATTATAGTCAAAGCATGTTCCATTGCATCTCTGAATGTGCCATTATATTTGCAGTGGCTAAGATGACCAGGTCATCCGCATAGTCAACCAGGACATGATCTCTTTCATTAGTTTTGAGAGTAGTAGAGGTGGTGGACCTAGGTTTTACCAATCGTTATGAAATTACAGAAAAATCCTTTATTGTTAAAAACTGTTTTTGCCTTCTTTATAAACAAAAATATCACTCAAGAAATACAAACAATGCTCTTTAGCTGTGCTTCTATACATAGCTAAGGAAAGAAGTAGTGAGACATGCTAGAAAGAAAATATATAACAGATAGCACTATTAGACTTTAAACATTTCCAACAACATATAAAAGACAATTTGTATTGATACATGACTTAAATGAAACTTTCGTACTTGCATTTTATAAATCTTTCAAATTCTTGATACACAGAATTGTAAAAATAAAAAAAACAACAATCATTAATATCATTAGATTTTTAAAATGATTAACTTAACATTTGCTAATAATCTTGACTTCTTTACCTGAACCTTGATCTCTAGCTCTAGCCTCTATAGTCCAAGTGCCTTGATCACAACTTGAGAATATAACTTTGGCACAATCACTAAGATACGTATAATCCAAAGTGGGTTCGACATTGTCGTTCGTTAGTTGTGATCCCACATCAACTATAACTCTTTTCTCAACATACTCTGATCCTACAGCTGCTGTAAATGTTATCAAATCTTGATAAATTCCGTATCTTATAGATAGTATCAGAGTTACGATTGCTGTTGCTTGTGGACTAATAATTGTTCTATAAAGAATAAAGTAACAAATTAGAGTAATATACAAGTCCTATATATAGAGGAAATTGATTTGATTTTAACATCATAATAAAAAGTAATATATATATATATATATATACATTTTTTTTTCGACGTTTCGGCAGGTTCTCGATGTTTTTTTAAGAAATATTAGTGACAAGCATGCAAAAGTAAAAACATGGGACCGGCCCATGTAATTGAGTCTACATTTACTATAATTGTAAAAATAATAAGCATAATTCAAGAAAAATTAACACGTATAGATCTGATTTTCGAATATAAAATAATTTTTGTAAAATTTATTCTTAAAAGATATTATTTATAACTGTAATACATAAATATTTAAGTTTCTTATTATATCATATCCATTTTTATTAATAATAATAAGAGGAACGTAAAATTTTCCCTAATAAATATTTATTTTAAATTGTTTAAACAATTCACAACAACTCTGGTAAATAAACAATTCACAAATTAACTAAAACTCCCATTTTAAATCTTGTATCTTTGGCGCATAATGGACAGCTCATTTTTAAAGGAATCGTTTTTAATTTTTTTGTAACTTGGAACTCTCTTTTAACTGGTTCTTTTAAATTGCTTATAAACAAAACTCCGGTGAATGTTTAAAAAAAGACTAAGCCTACACCTACATTGGAACCGTATTTCTCCCGATCCGACATCTGGCGACGTCGGCCGACGTCGGATTAAAAACAAACTCAAGGTATTAAATCAGAGTGCCTATACTGCTTCGTCACGGAAGCAGTATAGGCACCATGATTTAAAACCTTGAGTTTGTTTTCAATCCGACGTCGGCCGACGTCGCCCGATATCGGATCGGGAGGAATACGGTTCCAATGTAGGTGTACACTTACTCGGGTTTGAAGGATAGTTGGACCTATGTTTTTTTAATTCTTGTAAAAATGCCAGTATGGCGAATAAAAAAACTTATAATAATAATTTGTTGATTTCCGAATTCATGTAGACCGAATAGTTTACGCGCAATAACGTTGTAGATAAAAGCTTTTTGGGATAAACAATTTAAATTTTCCAATAACTAGCTGAATATTTGTGATATTGTCCTTATTGTCATGCGAAATCAAAATTTTTTGTGCATTTTTAGACAAGTTATTAATATTTTTTAAAAATCGACTTTTCAAGCTATTTTTGCAATAATTAAGCAACAATTAAAAAAAAATAACTTATAAAATCCCTCATTTTAAAAGATTTTTTATGCTTTTTCAGTAAAATTGTGTCACTTTTCCATATAATTTACCCCCTTTTCAGTATTTAAAATCAAATACCGATCTTACATTTTTTATATAACGTTTATAATTAAAACATGACAACATCTTTTACATATTTTGTTTATTACATATTGTTATCACCAAATTTCTCAAAAGCAGTTGTTAGGTACCTGTATCAACGATTGTCATGAGAAATTCGTTAGTATCTTGGTTTATTCTAACATTAAATCTATATGGGTTATATAGTACCACCCACACATCATATTTGTCTTTAGAAAATACTGATTTATATTAGTTAATTTATTTAATAATTTATTATATATGTTAATTATGTTTTTAATTTCCGATTGTTGATTTAAATTTAATTTATTCATTGATATTTCAAAATTACTAGTATTTGGATTCTCATTAAAATATACTACATATTGCAAAAAATTTGATTAAATTTGTTAGAAATCACTAAATTTTGGATATTTTTAATTTATTTCATGTCACCGGCCAACTAATGAATACTGAAATTTTCTGTAACTTCTTTTATTGAAGTGTTTTTATTTTGTTGAAGGTTTTTGTATTGTGTGATCATATAAGATCTTCATTTTAGATAAATTTAAAATTCTTTATATACCTAATGAAAATCTATTAAAAAAGTCTATATTTTCCCTGTTTTAATTTCAATTTTTATTGTTACTATACCATTTTTTGTGTCACACCAATAATTGTTCTCAAATTTATTATCGACGTATTGTTCTCAGTTCATTGACTAAATCCTCAGTATCCTTTATAGTCGAGGCAATGTCTTCTTCTTCTTTATGTGCCGTCTTCTACCGAAGGTTGGCGACCATCATACGATAGGTTTCTCTGTTTTGTGCCGCATGAATTATGTTCGCAGCTTCTGGTATTTGAAACCATTCTCTCAAGTTTCTCAGCCAGGATTTCTTCTTTGGCAATGAACCTTCGAAAATCGGCGCAGTAAGACGGATTGACATTAACAGCAATAATTATAAACAACCGACTAACAAGCAGTGTAGAACCAATGTTGAGGAAGGAACAAGCCGGTTTCAGACCAAACAGATCATGCCTGGACCAAATTAACACACTAAGAATAATTGTAGAACAGTCACATGAATTCAACTCTCCTCTCTTTGTGTGCTTTGTGGACTTCAAGAGAGCTTTTGACACGCTCACACATACGGCCATATGGAAAGCACTGCAGGAAATAGGAATACCAGAAAAAATAGTAAATCTCATCAAAGAACTCTACAGTGACACAGAAAGCAAAATCCTACACAACGGCATAACATCTGACCCAATAGCTATGCTAAACGGAGTAAAGCAGGGCTGTGTTTTATCCCTCATACTATTTAACATTGTACTGGACTCCGTACTAACAAAGGTAAACTCTAATAGAGGAATTTACTGGGGATTAACAAACAGACTGGAAGACCTAGATTACGCTGATGATATATGCCTCCTAGCACATACAAAACAGGACATGCAACTCCAAGTAAACAAAGTACAAGAAGAATCAAAGAAGGTTGGTCTAGAAATAAACATCAACAAAACCAAAGAAATGCGATTTGGTACCAGAAACAACCAACCTATTATGATCAACGACCAGAAAATTGAGAGAGTAGCGGAATTTGTATATCTGGGCAGCATAATTGACTGTAATGGGGGTACAGAGCGTGATGTACATAAAAGAATAAATAAGGCTCGCAACGCCTACAACATGCTTAACAACATATGGAAATCCAGGATTTACCCAACTAAAACGAAATTAAAAATCTTCAACACAAATGTAAAAGCTGTATTACTGTATGGCTGCGAAACGTGGAAGATATCAGCACCCATAGTACACCAATTACAAGTTTTCATCAATAGAGCGTTACGAAAAATCCTTCGTATATTTTGGCCTAACCGAATCTCCAATGAAAATTTATGGAACCAAAGCAACCAAGAAAATGTCATAAAGCAAATAAGGCGAAGAAAATGGAGAGTGCTGGGCCACACACTCCGTAGACCGCCAAATGACATTGCCAGGACAGCGCTGGATTTGAATCCCCAAGGCCGACGGAAAGTAGGCAGACCTAAGGGAACTTGGAGAAGGACAGTACTGGACGAAGGGAGAAAAATGGGAAAATCCTAGCTTGAAATCAAAGCACTAGCCAGAAATAGAGTTCGCTGGAGACACTTTGTGGAAGCCCTATGTTCCCTTTAGGAATCTTGGGACTATATATATATATATATATATATATCGATACGTCAGTTCCAGACTATTACAAGTCCGAATTTTTTGATTTTGAGTTAAATATAAAGAAATGTGCCTAATCATCGTTTCTATCAGTTCCAAAGACTTACAAGTCGATTGGATATAAAACAAATCCATAAAATCAAATATTCTACTTTGGAAATTAAAAAAAATATCAGTTTTGTCAGTTTCATACGATTACATTTCGAAATAGTATGCTACGAATCCAAAATTTATGTTTAGTCTCTCAATTCCAAAGAATGACAACTCGGAATATTACGGTCTGGAACTGGCAACACTGACACTGTCATTCCGATGCTGCCCAATTATTGAAAGTCGAAGTGTGTTGTTTTGAGTTTTCTTTCATGGTCTAGTCTAAGGTTTATAGTGTTTAGTGTTCACAATTTTGTGAGATTATTGTTATTTCTAAATTTTTTATTTAAAACATGGACATCCCGAAGTGGAAACGAAATATCGGAAGAACTGCTTACATGTTATCCCTTGTAAATGGAGAAAAATACATCGCGGTAAGTAACATGTGTATTTTTTTGCTTTCATTGAGCAATTGTTTTAAATAACGTCCTTTTTAAACTAACTTAAGAAATTAACTGGTAATATTTAGATACTTAGAGGATCAACACACTTTTTGATAATTTTTTTTTCACGTAACTAAATATCACTGTTCTAATGCCGATTGCAATGGAAATGCACAGAAATAAGATATTTTTCTAGTTTAATTTTCACTATTTTCAATGGCAACAGTTTTCACACTCTCTTTTTTAGCATATAAGTACATAGGATGTCTATCTCTCTCTCTTCTTTCTAAAATGGCTTGTTTGGTCTGTTGAAGTGAATTATCATGATGACATATAGCTTTACAATGTTGCCAGAATTGTTTCAATTTCCCTTAGAAAAGTAAAACTTACTGAACCACGGGGGAAGGACTGTTGCAGAATGCCAACAATGAAACAATACAATTAACGTAAAAATACATATTTAGGATAGTACGTTTATCAGCATTCTGCTCTACGAACATACCTTACTAACAATCACAACAACCTTAAATATTTAATGGATTCTTAAACGGATCTTTACAGAGCATGACTATAAAATAAAAATATAGTTGTGCAGGCATTTCCCTTACCATTTAACAATGTTTTAAAATTGTTTTTGATCACTCCACCTCTCATAATTTTTAGCATATTATTATGTTCTTTGAACTGTGTCAAAATTGTAAACAGAGAATCCTTTAGGTTAGACTATTGTTTTTAAGGTGTTAAAAGAAAAAAATCATAAAAAGTGGGTTGGATCTGCTGGTAAAATTTTCCCTCTTTTTTATGCTATAAATTCTGTTCATTATTTTCAGCCCTGTCCATTGGCGACAACACCAGATGAATGGAACAGAGTTTCATCATCAGTGGAGCTCACAGAAGCAAATAAGTTTATGCCAAACACAGACATGGACATCGATATTGAGGTACTTGAACTAGACATTAAAATGTTCACTTATTTTTGTTTTTAATATATAATAGACTTTCTAAATCTTCATCACAAATAAATGCCCAGCCGTGTGGTGCTGATCACTTGATACAACTTGAAATTAAATTTACAATTTTAACTCTAGAATTATAAAAACGAAAAAATGATTTACGTAATAAACAATAAGGAAATACCTACAATACCGTTAAGGTTTTACACCTGTTGATAGGAAAACGATTGAGTAAATTTAGTTGTTAACTCATAGCACCACAAAAAAGGGCCTAGGTCACTAATCCGAGATAATTGTTACTGACAGGTCCGTTTTTACCTTATGTATGTGTAATTTGAGATTTATAATTCTTGACTTTGTTTCAGAGTTCCCTGAGTGATGTAACCTACACAGAGTTAAAAAACGTTGAGATCAACTGCCCGTCAATGACTCCAGCTTCTAATTCCCAAACTCTGTGCAACTATACAAAGGCTATACTAAATCATGATGATTCTTCAAGTTACGATTATTCATCAGATGACGTCTTCATTCCTAAGAGTCCTTATGAATCATCAGATGAGTATGAATCATCAGACGAGATCTCCAATACTCCGCATACAGTACGAAAGCAGATCTTCAACACTCCATCGCCACCCCCACAATCAGCACACATGCACAACCCTAATACTCCGTCGCCGCCACCACCACATGCAGTACAGTCGCAGATCTCCAATACTCCTTCATCACCACCGCATGCAGTACTGACTAAGAACTCCAATACTCCGTCGCCACCACCAAATGCATTACAGACACTAGAGAGAGAACAAGAAAATACTGACCAAACAAATGAACGTACAAAAACTCGAAAACGGCTTAGAAACCCTAAAAATTGGGCTAAGAATATAAAAAAAAATAAAAGGAATCATGGTGAGGCATATGTCAATTCTACAGGTAAAGATGTTCAAGATAGACAAGTGAGAGATGCCTGTACTGATAAGTGCCGTCTAAAATGTAAAACCAAAATTGATGACGAGACGAGACAAAAAGTGCATAAAAGCTACTGGAACCTAGGAGACATCAATCGTCAACGTGATTTCCTGGTAAAAAGCATGCAGCCCGTAATACCAAAGTATTCGATGATAAAGCCAGAAAGCACACGGACAAACAATTTTGCATATTATTTTGATATAAACCACGTCAAAGTGAAAGTATGTAAGTTATATTTTATGAACACTGTGGCTGTGATTTCAACAGCCCAAAAAAAGAAGACTGACGAAGGATTTGTTGACAAAGACAACAGAGGAGGTAATCCCAATGCGGGGAGACCAAGGATTCACGAGGATGTCAAGAATTTTGCTCGAAAGCATATCGAATCTTTTCCAATAATGGATTCCCATTATTGTAGAGCTCGAACAGAACGGAAATATTTACAAGGCGACTTGAATCTGACGGAGATGTACAGACAATACTGTATAAAATGTACTGAGGAAAATAAAATGCAAATAAAAAAACATCTTTATGAATCCATATTTAATACCGAATATAATATATCTTTTTTTACTCCAAAAAAAGATGCATGCTGTACATGCATGAATTACGAAAATTTGAACGCAGATGAAAAAATTGCTCAACACGAGAACTTCAATGTACATATTCAGGAAAAAAAGAGGAGTCGTATTGAAAAAGACAATGACGTCAAAAATTCATCGGAAGATACGACGGTGAGCTGTTTCGATCTTCAAGCGGTGCAAACAATTCCAGAGGGCAGTAGAAGTGACTTCTTCTACAAGAGAAGATTATCATGTTATAATTTCACCATATATGACATTAAGAAAAAAGCTGGATTCAGTTACTTCTGGCACGAAGGAGTAGCTCGTCGCGGAGTAAATGAAATAGGGAGCTGCATCTTGAATTATTTGAAAGAAAATCCAACAAATAAAATTGTATTCTATTCTGACAACTGTCCCGGGCAAAATAAAAATAAATTCATTGTGGCCCTATTTATGTTTTGTGTGAGGAATCTGGAAATTGAATCCATTACTCACAAATTTTTCGTGGTCGGACATTCGCAGAACGAAGGAGATGCAATGCATGCTCTGATAGAGCGACAAAAAAAAAGAGCTCTCAAGGCTGGACCATTGTACGTGCCAACACAACTCCTGCCAATAATCTCCCTGGCTAAAAAGACCGGCCAACCATACACCACCAAGGAAATGGTAGACTTCTATGACATAAAGTCCTTGGTGATGAAAGGGGACAATTTCACCATAAATGAGGACGGTGCAGCAGTTAAATGGAATGATATTCATATAATAGAAATACGGAAAGAGAGTCCACATCTGATTCTGTACAAGAATTCATTTGCTGATGAGAATTTCAAAATTATAAACACCCGTAGAAGAACTCGGCGACAAACAGAAATGTCAACACTGAAACCAGCGTATACTCAGCCACCGGGCGTTACTGCAGCAAAAAAGAAAGATTTACTATCACTATGCAAGACTGGAGCGATTCCAAGACCTTACTGGGACTTCTACAATAGCCTATCTACCAATGAAAGACCGACGGAAGAAGATTCAGACTGATTGAATAATTTTTTAAATAAAGTATTAAACCTAGATGCAGTTTTCTTCTTTTCTTGTTAGCGATGTTTAAAACAGACTTTCTTAATTCACAGATTTGGGTATGGGTCTCTCCCACTGACTTGGGTTATTAGTCATGCTCTTCGTGGTCATTAACTATATTGAAAGAGGAAAACCCGATAGCACGATGGGAGGCGGGACCGAGGTTCGAACCCAGAACCTCCGGATTACGAATTTCCTATGCTAGCCATTACACTACCGGTGCTTTGCTAGCGTACTTCTCTCTTAATACTTTAAGGAACAACCCACCAAGTAGTGTTGTTGTGTCTTCCCATTGTTTGGTAGGTTCGCAGAGACCTGTGCCCCTCAGTGAGGGTATAAATGGAATAAAAAAAGGTTGCTCGATAGAAATTTTTGTACTATTGTTAGTCACTCGTACACAAACCTATGAATACATGTCAAAATTACTCTGCAAATTGGTAAAAATGTCAGTTCCAAACGCTAACAACTCTTAATAATCTTAAATTTGCTCTGCAAATTGGTAAAAATATCAGTTCCAAACGCTAACAACTCCTAATAATTTTAAATAACATTAATTGTGGTAATAAAATCATTTCTATTTTTATATCAAATTTTAACTGAAATATAGTTCCATGGACTGTAATAATTTCAATAAAATCTATCTACTACTAATAGATGAAAATTAAACTTACGAAGCAACGCAAAACTTAATTTGCAATTATCTCCACAATTTGATTTTCAGACTTGTAATAGTCTGGAACTGAGGTATCGATATATACATATATAAGACGGATTGAGATGCAGTTTGGTCGATTCGTGAGAGCGTCAGGAAATTTTGTGAACTAATGCGATCATGAAAAAATAAAAAATTGCATTTGGAAAACTCCTGGGCGCCAGGTACATCGAAGACCTTCTTTGACATGAGCTTTCTGTTCAGCGACCCTCAAAATCCACGAGTTGGAAAATTGGACGTACTTGATTCAATATTTGCCGACCAATTTTTTTAAATTTGGAACTCTGGAAAACTGGAACTCCGGAGAGGATCACGTAAATGATAATGGTACCCGACTAATATCATTATGCGAAAAAAATGAAATAAAAATTGCAAATGGATTTTTTCAACACAGAGACATACACAAATAAACATGGACGCAAAATATGAGAGGGTTAAAATCAATCATATACTACACAATCATACGACAAAAGATAACTATCATCGTACAAGGTGGTAGAGTATTGGGAGGAGCTACCTATGGAAGCGATCATCACTTTTTCAAAGCTAAGATCACATTTGGAGTAAATAAACCTAAAGAAGAAAAAGAAGGAAATGAAAGGGAGAAAATAATACAGAAGAGGTATAACCTAATCAGCAGAACAAGAAAACGTGAGAGAATTATGCAGAAATAGGTTAAATCAAAAGTTGGAAAATAAACAATTTATTATTAATGAAGAACATTACACTCACATAAAAAGGTGTCTCCAGGAGGTAGCACCAGAAGTTATTGAATACCAAATCCAGAATCAAAGAAAACTTCCATATTGGTTTGACGAAGAAATAGAACAAGAAATAAAGAAGAAAAGAGACCAATATCAAAAATTTTTAATAAGAAAGAATATAACGGATAAAATAATCTGCAAGGAGTCTCAAGCTAAAGTACGGAAAATGATATGTCGGAAGAAAAATGAAGCATGGCAACAAAAGTGTATCATGATAAATTCACATCTAGGAGGACGAAGAAGCACAGAAAGTTGAAGAGTCTTAAAATCTTTACGACAAGATAAGAAGAGAGATATAGTGTCAATAATAACAATGGATGACTGGGACCAATATTTTGACAAACTTCCAAGGTAAGATAGACCACGATTTAAAGACAGCAACGAAACATAAAATATAAATATTTTAACTTCGCCTATACGAATAACAACGAAAGAAGTGGAAGATGTATGTAGATCTCTAAAAAATAACAAAGCACCAGGTCCAGGTAACATCCCTGCAGATTTAATTAAACACGGTACAACCAAACTATATACAAGTTTAGCCAAACTATTCCAAACTCCATTAATAGAACGACAACCCTAGAGGAGTGGAAGACATCATTCATATCCACTATACACAAGAAAGGCAGAAGGGATGAATGTGGCACACATGAATGTGGATGAACGTGAACAGGCAGAATTTAGTGCAGGTAGATCTACTGTTGACCATTTGTTTTGCATTACACAGATTATTGAAAAGAAAATAGCCGTTAATCAAGAAGTACATTTATTGTATGTAGACCTAAGAAGGGCTTATGATACCGTACCAAATTATAAATTATGGGAAGCGTTAGTGAAAATAAACATAAGCGTCAATTTAATAGATGCGACGAAGGAACTGTACGCTAATGCTAACTCAAAGGTAAAGTTTGATTTATCTAATTACAACAATCGTAAAACTATTTTACGATTGTTGTAATTAGATGTCGCTACTGCGTCCGTTTTGAAGCCATGCTATTGTTGCTTCTTACGAGACCTATTAGGTCGAAATACGTATTAAGAGATACATAGGATTTGTTTGCGTGAAATCAAATATTTGCTGCCTTTTCTCATTTTAAAGGTAAAGGTTGGAAATAATCTGTCAAGTGGATTTCAAATAAATAAAGGCCTTAAATAGGGCTGCTGTCTCTCCCCAACATTATTTAAAATTTATCTAGAACACGCTCTAAAACTGTGGAAGCGCAAATATAGGATTATGGGAATGCCGATTAACAATAGCATATACACTTTGTCATTTGTAGATGATCAACTAGTGAGAGCACAAGATTATGAAGATATTGAGTATATGACTCGAAAATTAATCGAGGAGTATAAAAATAGGCGGGAAACAACAGGACCTCATATTGGAAGATGGAGAAGTTATCAAATATTGCAACACATTAAATATTTAGGTATGATCATCACAAAAGAAGGCAACGTAGACGATGCAATTGAGGAGGAAAACAACCAAGCAAGAAAAGCAATTTCCCTTCTCAATAGTATCCGTTGGGATCAATCAATCTCTAATAATAACAAACACAATAGAATACAATCATTAAAATTATAATTACCTGCAGTAGTGAAGTATAGCAAATAAAGGAAAGATACAAGAGAAAACTTGAGGCAACGGAAATGGATTTCTGGAGACGTTCAGCTGGAAAATCTAAATTAGAAGGAGTAACGAACAACAGAATAAGAGAAATTATGAAAGTAAAACATACAACAGTAGACGATATTGGTACCCAACAACTCAGATGGTACGGTCATGTACAGAGAATGTCTGAAGAACGTCTCCCAAAACAAGTCTTAATGTGGACCCTCACGGTAGAAAAAAAAAGAGGAAGACCCCACCTTAGTTAGAGAGAAGGCATCAATAGAGAAATGAAAGACAGAGACATAGAAGAAGACTTATGGATGAATCGAGAGGAGTGGCAACTGGATATCGGAAGACGTAGGAGAACTTTTTAAACCGATCTATATATATATATATATATATATATATATATATATATATATATATATATATATATATATATATATATATATATATATATTTCTTCATGATAGAATTAGTTTACAAGATTTCCTGACGCTCTCACCAATCGAATGCACCAAACCAATTTTGTCAGATATATAATATGAAACTCCAACAGCAATTAAATTATCATATCTTATTATCATATTATCATATTTTTTATCGTATGATTTGTTTATTTGTAGCAAAAGTCTCTTAAGAACATATTCTAATAAGGAACTGTTTATATATTTAAATTAAATAGTGTACTTCACTGGAGTTAGCTTTTGTGTGCATACGTGTTACAGAAATTAATTTTCCTTTGTTTCCAATCAAAATTTAATGTACATTTTATAACTATTGAAATAGAGTAGTCAGCACATGATTCTTCTATAAATAATCTTAGAATCAATTTTATTTATATTTTATTGGATTTCTAATCTTGTGCAATCAAATATTTTCATCCAATTGTAAGACTTTTTTTTAGCCGCGAATTTTTCTGACATTTTTTTGTGTTTTTGTCTTCATGTTTTGGTCTGTCTTGTAGTTTAATTAATTTTTTCAAACTGTGTTATAAAACTTCTGTTTAAATACCATTATGTGCAAATATAGCATGACAAATCTTTTAAGACGTACAGCTGTTTTTGCTTTTTTTTAACAACGTTTCTTACACATTTTAGAGAAAAATTATTCAAATAAAAGTTGTAGATCTTTAACAGTTCTTTAATTGGGAAGTTTCGAAATTAAAGTACATAATCAATTCTTCTTCATGTGCCGTGCTCGATTATCGAGCGTTGGCTATCAAATTGGCTATAGTAATTTTGTTAACGGAAGCTTGGAAAAGAGATGCAGAGGATCTGTTAAACCAATCTCTTAGGTTTCTAAGCCATGACGTTCTTCTTCGACCTGGCCCTCTTCTTCCGTCTACCTTGCCTTGTATTATTAAATGGAGTATATTATATCTCTCTGGGTGGCGTATAACATGGCCAAAATATTCAAGTTTGCGATTTTTAACTGTTTTGACGACTTCCGTAACTTTTCCCATCCGATGCAAAACAACTTCATTACGAACTCTATCCACCCAAGTTATTCGTAGGATTCTCCAATACACCCAGATTTCAAAGGCTTTCAGTTTCTTGAGAAGTGTATCCGTCAAAGTCCAACCTTCGACACCATACAAAAGAGTAGAGAACACATGTCACTAATCTAATTGTCAGACTTAAAGTAATATTGTTCCCACATAACAGTTTCTTCATTTTAAAGAATGCAGCTCTGGCCTTTCCTATCCGTATTCTAATTTCTTTGCTCATGTCCCAGTTCTCATTTAGATTACAACCAAGGTAAGTGATACTGTTAGTTCTCTCCAGTTGTTCACCATAAGCTGTTACCACTTCCGGTTGTATTGGCGTTTTACTGACGACCATCACCTTTTTTTTGCGGTGTTTAGCTTAAG